GCTGGATTTTTTTTTTTTGAGACAGGGTTTCTCTGTGTGTAGCTCTGGTTGTCCTGGACCTTGCTCTGTAGACCAGACTGGCCTCGAACTCACAGAGATCCGCCTGCCTCTGTCTCCCAAGTGCTGGGACTGAAGACATGCACTACTACCACCCCGGCCAGCTGGATCTGAAGTAAAGGCATTTTCTCAGTTGAGGTTCCCTCCTTTCAGATGACTCCAGCTTGTGTCCATTAAACATACAAGTAGTCAGGAAAGAGACCTTGGTTTCAATCCTCAGCAACACCATTAGGAATTAAAAAAGCAGGCCTGGAGAGATGGATGGCTGGTTGCTCTTTGAGAGACCCTAGGTTCAAGTGTCTGCACCGACATGGCGGCTCACAGCTGCAGTCCCTCCACAGGAGAGCCGACCCTCTTATGACCTCTGAGGGCACCAGGAATGCACGTGTTATACAGACATACGTGCAGACAATTCGCTTATGTACATCACATAAATGAAATGTAAAAATCAAAAACCAATATACTTTAAAATTTTTTTTGATGATTCCTTTTTTAAAAAAATATTTATTTATTTATTTATTTTTATGTCCATTGGTGTTTTGCTTGCATGTCTGTCTGTGTGAGGGTGTTCGGTCCCCTGGAACTGAAGTTATAGATAGTTTTGATTGCTGTGTGGTTGCTGAGAATTGAACCAGGGACCTCTGGAAGAGCAGCCAGTGCTCTTTACCTCTGAGCCATCTGTCCGGCCCTGGGCCCTCAATATTCTTTAGTAGTGTCAAAGTCGTCAAAAGGAAAAAAAGTTTAAGAAATTGTACTCGTTTAGACTGGATGGGATAGTTAAGAAAATGTCCTATAGGAAAAAAAAAAAAAGACTGGGATAGTTGGGTGGTGGTGGTGCATGCCTTTAAATCCCTGGAGGCAGAGGCAGATGGATTTCTGTGAGTTCAAGGCCAACCTGGTTCACAGAGTATGTTCCAGATCTCGCTCCATAGCTAAAGAGAAACCCTGACTCAAAAAGCAAAAAAAAAAAAAAAAAAAAAAAAAAGAAAAAAAAAAGACTGGGTAGAATGCAGAAATAGAAAAAGAAAAATGACGGGTCTCTGAATTTGAGGTCAGCCTGGTCTGCAGTTCTAGGACATCCAGATCTAGGGAGCTTCAGGACATCCAGGGCTACACAGAGAAACCCTGTCTCCCCCGCCCCCCCATAGGGAAAATAACACTAGGTAAAAACAAAGAAAATGTGAATAAAACCTGAGCTTCAGTTAATAGTCACTCATCAGTATTGGCATATATCTTGGAACTTTCCTAAGTTCTGCGGTCATGGGTCAACCCTGATTTGACCTTCCATTTGGGTGCAGGTTGCTGTTGTGGGTGCACTTCCTGGGTGCATCTGTGATGGATCATCTTGCCCCAGATGTCCTTCTGGATGAGCTGGCAAACGGACAGCTCTGTGATGCCACCACACAGGTGCAGGGGGCACTCTTTCTGGGTAGTGTAGTCTGACAAGATGTGGTCATCCTCCAGCCGCTTCCTAGTGAACAGCAGCTCTGCCGGCTGTGCTGGATGCCTTCCTTGTCTTGGATTTTGGCCCCGAGAATGGTGTCACTGGGCTCATCCTCCTGGTGTCACTGGGCTGATCATCACTGATGTCACTGAGTGTCATCCTCCAGGGTGACAGGCCTTCACCTTACTCCTCAGGCCTTCATGAAGATCTGCCATCAGGCCATTGTTTAAAGAGAAAGAGGGTGGCAGAACTGGAAATGTTGGGGTTTAAAAAGCCTCTTAAAAGTTGCCAGGTGTGGGGCACAGAACTTTAGTCCCAGCACCTGGGTGGCAGAGGCAGGTGGATCTTGTTGAGTTTGAGACCAATCCGGTCTACATAGTGAGTTCTAGGACAGTCAGAGCTACATAGTACCCTATCTCAAAAATACCAAAAAAGAAAAAAAAGGAAAAAAGTTTTATTAATATGTATATGGAATTATTATTATTATTTGGTTTTTTTTGAGACAGGGTTTCTCTGTAGTTTTAGAGCCTGGCCTGGAACTAGCTCTTGTAGACCAGGCTGGCCTCAAACTCACAGAGATCCACCTGCCTCTGCCTCCCAAGTGCTGTGATTAAAGGTGCGTGCCACCACCGCCCGGCTATTATTATTATTATTATTTTGGTTTTTCAAGACAGGGTTTTGCTGTAGTTTTAGAGCCTGTCCTGGAACTAGCTCTTGTAGACCAGGCTGGCCTCGAACTCACAGAGATCCACCTGCCTCTGTCTCCCGAAGGAATTATTTTTCTTGTTTTATTTATTTATTTTCTGAGACAGAATTTCTCTGTATAACCCTTGCTGTCCTAGAACTCTGTAGACCAGGCTGGCCTCAAACTCAGATTGATCAGTCTTTGCTTCTCAAGTGCTGGGATTGAAGGTGTTGTGCCTGCCTGTCTGTACACCATGTGAATGTAGTTCCCATGAAGGTGAGAAAAGGGTGTTGGCTTCCCTGGAAGTGGAGCTACAAGTGGTTTTGAGTCACCAAGTGGGTGCTGGGGACCGAATCCAGGTCCTTTGCAAGAACCTTAACCGCTGAACCATTTCTCCAGTCCCTTCCCTTTTTATATTAAAAAATTATGTGTGTGTATTTTATGTGAGTATGGTGACCACAGAGGTCAGAAACAGTCACTGGAGCTGGATTGTATGTGATTGTGAGCTGTCTGATGTGGGTGCTGGGAATTGATATCAGGTCCTCTGGAAAAGAGGTACACACTCTTCACCACTGATCTCTCTCCAGCCCCCAGGCTGGAATGTGGTACATATATGCAGACAAGCCACACACACACACACACACACACACACACACACACACACACACACAAATACATCTAAACTATTTAAACGATTTTTACATCTTTATTATTGTGTGTCACTGCAAGCACTGAGTGTAGGTCAGAGGACAGCTTGGGGGAGTCAGTTCTTCACTTCCACCATGTGGATCCTGGACTCCTCTATAATAAGGCTTAACAGCAGTTCCTGTATCTGCTGAGTCTTCTCTCAGTCTTCTTGTGCTTGAGTCGGGGTCTTGTAGCCGAGAACTGAGACTGATTCTCTCGTCTCTGTCCCCAGAGGGTTGGGATTATAGGTGAGCAGTAGAACCACTTGGTTTTAAGTGGTTCTTCCGAAGGTCAGGCAGGCCTAGAATTCGAAGTGATTCTCCTGCTTCAGCCTCAGAATCTTGGGATCACAAGCATGTAGCATCATGCTAAGCTGTCAGTATTGTTTTATAATCACAATAACTGTCCTATACTATGGAAGATGTTCCAATAGGGGAACTGGGTGATAAGTACATGAGAACTAACTGTTTCTATAAATCTGAAACTTTTGTAAAATAAAGTCTTATTACCTGTAGATTCAATTTAACCATTACAATTCCTTTTAAGTGTAATCAATCTTCTTTTACAGAAGCTGATCAAACAAGAAGTTGGGATGGAGCTTTTTGGACCCAAAATGGTATGTTTGGAACTTATTTCAGTAGTCTGGTTTCTATTTTTGTTTGTTTTTTTTGAGACAGGGTCTCGCTTTGTAGCTCCAGCGGTGAGGAACTAGTTAGGTAGATTAGGTTGGCCTTGAATTCAATCAGCCTGCCTCTGAATATCTAGTTATCAAGTGCTGAAATCAAATGCATGAGCCACCACACCCAACAGTCTCCTGGTTTCTGTGGAGAACAATCCTTGAGTATCCTAACCCAGGGACTGAAGACCATGTCTCCCTCTCTCTTCAGTCAAGCCATATCCAGGAAGAACAAGCAGAAAGGATCCGTAGGAAGTAAAAGTTCAACCACAGACTTTTGTCTTTAGAGACAGGGTCTCACTATGTAGCGCTGATTGGCAAGGAAGTACACTGACTCTTCTGCTTTTGTCTCCGTCTTCCCTTCCAAGCTCAAACCAGGCCAACCTCAATATTTTGCAACCAAGTACTCTAAAGTATAGGTAGCGCTCTTCCCCAAATCTCACATAGAGTAGGACCTGGAATCAGGTTCAATATTAGTTTTCTAAGTTTTCTACTCTTTTCACACAACCTTCTCTTGGAAAAAGGAAGCAGGAGCTAGCTTATCTGTTTTTCTCTAGTTCTCCTTTGGGAGGCTGCCTTCCCTAAGGTGGGCGACTTGCCTAGGGGTTCGATCAGCGATCAGCGGGAGACAGAGCTTATTCTAGCATCTCCTAAGTGTGGGGACCACAGACTGGGTGTCTCCGAGAGGAGCCCGCAGGGGACCAGGGTTCCACCCAGGAAGACTACGGAGGCCAAGGGACACACAGGGCGAGATCTCTGAGAGCCTTAGGACCTGAGGTTCCTTCCGGGGCACGCCTCTGGAACCGCGGCGTCCAGCCGCACAACCGTCACTTAGGGCCCAAAGCGATCCTCGGCGGCCCGCCCTTGATCCCACCGCCGCTTGGCCCTTAAAGGGTGGGGGACACGCGCAGGCGTCACAAAGCGCCGCCACCGTGGGGCCCGGCGGGGAAGAAGCGGGCAGGCGGGAGCAGAAGCGGACCGAAGGTGACGGGTGACGGTGCGGCGGCACGACGCCGCGGTTCCAGAG